ATCTGTGATTACAGTCACTTGGTAAACACTTTCACTTTGTAAGTCCAGAAGCTTGCAATATATACAAAATTTCAATTATTTTTGTTAGTTGCATTGTTATAGAAAGACAGTAATTGCTAAAGCAAGGGCTCTGAACCCTGAAAAAAAATTACAGATTTTGCACATGAAAATACCTGGTCTTTTAGGATTAGCCATGATACCAGAGATCTGCTTCATGAAAATACTTGATACCAGTTAACAAGTTGAGAAAGCTATCATTAAAAACCCAGCATCCTTCTTCCCATCTTTTCTACCTACCCGATTGGTTTTGTATCAGTAGAGATTTTTCTTTAAATACTTTAACTTTTCAATTTGAGAACTTTCCCATGAACAAGCTAATACCAAATCTTCCTCCTGTTATGCAGCATGAGAACAATATCATTCACCGGGACCTAAAAGCAGAAAATGTCTTCTACACAAGTAACACCTGTGTTAAGGTGGGAGACTTTGGATTCAGCACAGTAAGTAAAAGAGATGAAACTTTAAATACTTTTTGTGGCTCTCCTCCTTATGCTGCCCCTGAACTCTTCCGAGATGAAAACTATGTTGGCATTTATGTAGACATCTGGGCACTGGGAATCCTGTTATACTTCATGACAACGGGTATTATGCCATTTCGGGCAGATACAGTGGCCAAACTGAAAAAGTGCATTCTTGAAGGGACATACAGTTTGCCTTCCTGCCTCTCAGAAACTTGCCAGAAACTGATAAAAGGAGTCCTTCAACCAGTACCAACCAAACGATACTCCGTCAAACTTATCATGGACAGTGAATGGATGCAAGGGATACAGTATCCCAAACCTTTACAGCCCTTTAAACTGGATCCGAGGTACTTATCAGACATCAGTGCACTCAAAGAGGAAGATATCGAAGTAAAAAACATTCTTGAAGATCTGGGAATCACAGAAGAGCACATTCAAAACAACCAGGGAAGAGATGCACGCAGCTCAGTAACAGGGGTCTACAGAATTGTTCTGCACAAAGTTCAGAAGAAAAGGGCACTCGAATGTGTTCCTATCATGTCCCATCCAGACCCCAAAGAACAAGACCTGAGGGGTGGAATCCATTCTTACAGCAGGATGAAGAACACATCCAAGCTGTGTTCTATTTTATAAACTGCACTGCAGGCTTTATAATTGGCATATTTAACAAAGTGTTTTATTAACAAGTTCTGGCATTACATTTTTTTTGTAACTTTTGAATAAACCAAGAATGCCTCATCTCTGCATTTCTTCACTCACAGTGAAGTGCTCAAATACAGAGCTCTCACTCATTTGTTTGCCCCCTGCTCCAGGGACTTGGTATACCCAGTACAAGAACCCCAGCAAGTGGAACAGGTAAGAGATCATTAGTTGAAGTGACCTTTTAGTAAAGGTCAAACAGTACTACACTTAACATACTACAGGCACGTTAGAGCTAAGATCTTGAAAAGTTGTGCCTCAGCTTGACCACTACAAACCAGGACAGTTTCTTGCAGAAAACTAAACTTAAGCAGAAAGCAGACTACAATCTAAACAACTGTAAGTTCTTTAAAACTTCTCAGCAAATTAAACATGGATAAGTGTATAACAGAGCTCTATGGGCTTTAAAATTGTATTTAAAAACCCAGCAGTGGTGGCGTTGACCACGATTCCCCATTTGCCACAATTACAAAAGGCAAATTAGGATATACTGCTTGAACCCTACATGTGTGGACACAATTCCTATTGCAGAACTGGTTGGGCTACCACCTACTGCGCTACCACCTTCCATTACTTGGATGATTCCAGCAGCTTGGACTCCAGTTGCACTCCAGTAAAGAAAGATTTAAGTGTACTCCAAAACTCACGTAGTTTTAAACTCTTGCTTTAGCTGTTAAGTATCAGTAAGCTGGACACAACCAGTAACAAAATCTGCTTATAGATTGAGCATTACAGGCTTGTACAAGCTCCTGCCATTATACTTTGGCAGCAAAAGCTGATTCTGACTACTGCAAGTTAAAAGTTGGATAACCTGACAACTCCAATTGTTCCAAGCATCACCAAGATGTAGATACTCTGATTTTCAGCTTTAACTATTTATTTTATATTTTCATCCTCAACATGATGAGCTCCAATGCAAACAGTGGAAGAGTGCAGTAGCTGTCCTTCTCCAAACAGGCACAGCTGACATATCCAAACTAAGAGGCAGATCCCGTCCTACTTTAGTTAAGGAAAGTAAACTAATACAAGGCTTAGAGGTACAGCTGGTGCTTTCAAATTTAAGGGCGATGAGATGATAAGTTGACTTTAAAAGGGCTAATTAATGTAAATGAGCCACAAAATGAGTGAAAAGTAAAGAGATTCAGTGAGGCTCAGGTAAGTACAAAGCAAGCTTCAACACCATTTCAGAGATTTTTCTGAAGGGGATAAAACAATACCATCTTTCACAGGACACTAATAAATATGAATTGTATTTCATAAGCTGTGAATGAATTCCTCTACTACAAACCCTTTTCCTCTGAAAGCATTAAGTTATGTTGAAACACAGCCTTACAATGTTTTCCCACCAGCCTAAGTAACCCTTTCCACTTTTGTAATGGAATGCTACTAAGAAGAAAGATCCAGAAGGTCCACACAGCTGGTGAACCCACAACTTCAGGTTTTCACAGGCACAGTTTCCTCTTTTTTTCCTGTTAAAGAAAACAAAAATTCATCCTGAAAATCCAATGAGTCAGCACTACTCCAACAGGTTTCAAATATCTCAAACTTTATTTTAATAAAGGATCAGCCTCACAAACCACGAGGCCCCTGTGATAACTTTTTGCCAGTAGCTCATTTCCTGGCTTGTCCACTGCCAGCAATGGACTTTGTTCCATGGCAATTTGTTTTCCTGGTGCCAAGATTAAGTTTCACGAGGGCAACCTAAACCAAAGTACTTGCAAACACTATCATCATGCATCATTGCTCCATCGTTTTCAGCAGAACAAACAGATTAGTATCCATCAATTTATAATAAACAACTATTTTACCAAGGCTTGACTGTACAAATACAGCAAGTTATCAAATCCTAGTGAGTGACAGATAATACAAACACTTCATTACACACAAAAAAAAATGTAATTTAACAGACATGTAATTTTTTGCTACTTTATATTAGATAATGCAGCTTTGTAGAATTAGCAAAGAAATAAATCCAACAAAATTTCATTCTGTACATTAGCTCAATTTAAATATGTATATATTACAAGCTTACAAGGCTCATGTCATAGTTAATTTCCAATCTGGGCTTTAAAAATCTACCAGAATGGAATCCCCATTAGTACGGTATATCTACCTGTTGCAAAATTGACAGCTTTTAGCTTGCATATTGGGAAAAAAACAAGAAAGGAGAAAAAAAAAAAGACCCTACTCCTACAGTATCACCATTTGTCAGAAGGATTTCAAGGTACAAAGCCAAATTCAAAGTCAGAAATAGTCTTTCAGAAATGTATTATATAAAGACTAGTGAGAGGCCAGTGCTCCAGACACAGTGATGTTTCTCCCTTTCTTCATTTGCCAATTAAAACAGCTCCGTAATATCTAGAAGTCCTATAAGAAAATTCTGCTGCCTTAGATAATTATAGAACCATAGAATCATGGAATGGTTTGGGTTGGAAAGGACCTTAAGATCATCCAGTTCCAACCCCCCTGCCATGGGTGGGGATGCCTCACACTGGACCATGTTGCCCAAGACTGTCCAACCTGGCCTTGAACACTGCCAAGGATGGAGCATTCACAGCCTCTTTCGGCAACCTGTCCCAGTGTCTCACCACCCTCACAGTAAAGAACTTCTTCCTTACATCTAACCTGTACTTCCCCAGGTTTAGTTTGAACCCATTACCCCTTGTCCTACTCCTACTGTCCCTGATTAAGAGTCCTTTTCTAGCATCCTTGTAGGCCCCCTTCAGACACTGGGAAGCTGCTAAAAGGTCTCCACACAGCCTTCTCTTTTCCAGGCTGAACAGCCCCAATTTTGTCAGCCTGTGTTCATACGGGAGATGCTCCAAGCCCCTTATTATCCTCCTCTGGAGTTGCTCCAACAGCTCCATGTCCTTTTTACGTTGAGGAAACCAGAATGGTACAAAGTACTCCAAAGGGGATCTACTAGACAATCCTGAGAGATGCCAGATCAATGAACCCATGTTTTTGGAAGAATCCCTACCTCCCTTCTTTCTCTTTCCACCCACACTGCTGTGATTTATAAAGCTGGCACAAAATACACATTATGGGTGTTCAGAGGAATCCCACAGTAACTAAGACAGCAGGTGACAAAGTTTCTTGGAAGAAAAACACCTGTCAGTCTAGCCATTCTTGATCCAGTCACTCTGACAGGGAAGAGAGATTCCTCTCCAGCAATGAGTGCTACTTGGTTGTATTTCCCAAAGGAATGGGGTGATGGGATGCAAACTGGCAGAAAAGAGGAAGGTGGCAGAGAGAAAGAGAAGCACAGTATTCTGAAGACAGCTTATTGTCAAGGCACTGAGAATCCAAACATGAAAAGCCTGGACTAGCTTGCCACACATCTGAAGTTAACAGTATAGGTTTAAAGTAGAAGTTTACAGTAGAAGTTAATAGTGTAGGAGGTTTGAAGTAAAAGTTAACAGTAGAAGTTAACAGTATAGGTTTCAAGTAATTTTGAATGGAAAGAGCAAGCAAAATATTTTTTCTGTGTACAAACACCTTGTAATGGACTACAGCTACTACTCAGCAATTGGGAAAAAAAAAAAGGACATGTTAATGAATCCACACAGCCCCTGGCAAGTCCCTCCATCCCCAGTATATTAATGAATGTAGTGTCTTGAAAATACTATAAACATCAGCATACCATATTATGACAAAACCTTTCAAGGAACTTTAATAATTCTCCATTCTCCAATGAAGTATTACTGTGCACTGAAACTTGAGCACTACTGCAGTCCTCTCCCTGTCTCACCCTACCCTCACACCTTGTTTCATTCCCCACCTCACAGAGGTATCTTAATGCTCCCCATTGGAAATGGCAACAGTAACGCCTTCAGATTCTGTTGTTGCAGGGATTCTTGGCACTTTCTTAGCAGGGCTTGGGATGTGCTAAGAAGAAGGGAAAAAAAACATTAAATACAGTTTTCTTGTCCACAGACATCCATACTTCATGGCTAGTCCAAATCTCAGCAACATTCATGCTACACTGGACGGCTTCATTTTAAGTCAACTGAATCGGTCATGCTTCATGCAAACTGGTAACATGAAAAGAGCCATTTTGTTCTTGTTTCATTCTTGTGCGGTTTCATTCTTGTTATGATGAAATGTACATTTTAAAATCCCATGTTCAATTTCTTTTTTTACTTATTTTACTCACATAGATTAGCTAAGTATTTAATATAACTTGTGAAACCACTTCTTCCTTTAACATACATGCACATGCTACGACAAACACACAAACCGTTCCACCATTTAGCTTCAACTTTTAAAAGAGTGCCGAGCGTTCACCTCATGAACAACGCCTGGGTGGACAACTTCAACGCCTGCCTCCAGCGGTCCATCACCCATGAGCGGGCGCCGTGCATATGTTCTCCTGTGCTTTTCATCCACACGCACAAGGTACCAAGTTCCCTCAAAGAGATCTTCCACTGAGCACTGTGGAATATAGTTGGCTGTAACAAAGCCAATAACACACTGTTAATAGGTTCCTGGTAACAGTTTTACACAGCACAAGGCTTTGAAGTTTGGAAACAGTAAGACAGAAAAAAACATATCTACATTTTCATGTCAGCCTCACAGGACCAATGAACACAAGCTGTCAGAAGCAGAAAGAAGTTGGACATTTCCTTTGTTCTACACCCTAACCGTTTAAAGTCAAGTGAACTAAGTGATGAGCATTTTGCTGTGAGACTACAAACAATTTACACTTATGAAGCTCTTACCCAAATGATGTGTTTCCTGTCTAATCTTCATATTTTCAGCAAAGACATCCGGTGCAATACATTTTCTTGAGTCAAGCCTTGTTTTGAGATCAGACAGACTGGCAGTAATTTTGTCCAGTGCAGAACCTACAATACAGAACCATCATGTAAGGTCGCACCAGTGCCAAGAACTGCGTGTTAGCATGTTAACATTTCAATCTCATTCAAAATGTTTTGCATTACAGCAGCTAAACCTTTTGTCATTGAAAATATTCCCAATTACTCCATCAAAACAGTAATGGAATTTGAAGAATATTACTTATTTGCTCAAGGAGACACTTAAACACTCCCAGGAGTTGGAACATCTTCAGTTTAGCATTACTGTCATTAAGCACTGTTCTGCAGGTTTACTTATTCTGGTGAGTAGTGTCATTAGGCATTTAGCAGGGAGCTGTGCAAGGGAGTTAATTAACATTTCTTCCTTTCACTCACCAGGAGTGGCATCCTGCGTAACTCTGATGGAATACAGCGTAGCAGCAAACCCAGAGCCATATGAAAACACACTGATTCTCTGTCCTGCAAGCTGCTCTGGGGAGTACCTGCAAACCAAGCAACAGTTATATAAAGTGAGAATTAAGCCAAAGTGCCAAATTTAAGTAACCAGGAACTGCAGCTAGCTCAGCAGAAGCAGTCAGTGAGTTATACTGACTACGATACACATTTCACATGCTATATGCTTAAGTGACTTTTAAACAGCATCAGGCGTGGCTGTTACATGATGACTTCCAAAGCTGCCTAAGCAAAACAGAGCAAGGAAAAGCACAGAATATTATTATCCAGAAGGAAGTCAGTTTTCCCTCTTAAGTGACCTAAAGCCTAAAATGAACACTTGTATCTTGGAAGGCAAAGTTAGAATAACAAAAAAAACATCTAAGAGGAATGGCTTAGTTTAAGCTTAGCATGATTTTGTAAAAGTCTGTCACTGAAAAAAAACCCACCAAAAAACTCCACCCAAAACCAACCAAACAAAATAAACCCCTTAAACAACAACCAACCAAACAACCCCCTCCCAAGCCCCTAATTTAATTTGGCTTTGCTTATTGTAAGTGAAACAGAGAAGCCATTGTGATTCTCTTTGCCACTGCAGTGAGGTTTTTTTTGGAGGGGGGCAGGGTAGGGAAGGTTGAGGCTGGGAAAAGTTACCACCTCATAAATAAGATCCTTCTTCAGCAGGAAGTAAGCAGCTGTTTTAGATCAGCTTCTGACACATAACTTGTGAATCTGCTTGTCACCTGAACCCAACTGTGCATGCAGAATCATTTTTTTAACTTCAGGCTTTCTGCTTAAGACAGTCTAGTAGGAAAGGGTTTGCTAGATGGTACTTTTATGAAAGGCCTTCTGAAATAAAAACCTTTTATAACCTTACATATAAAAAGCTATGACTTTTTCCCATTATTTTATGCTTACTGGGCTAGAAGAGAGGCAAGGCAACCATAGACTGAAGGGGTGTACATATTTCCATTCTGATTGGACACAAGCAATGAAGCTTTGGTTTTCTGATTGAAGAGCTCTGCACTGGCTTTCATGAAAGCTTTTTCCACATCTCTGTCAAAATACGTATCCTCAAGTTTTATATCCCTAGTAAAAAAAAAAAAAAAAGATGTCCATAAACAGTTACTAAATTACTTTTACTAAACTACTTTATAGAAAGTAAAGACACACACTGGAGGTGTAACAAGTTAAGTTCATATGAATAAGGAAGATAGCAGCCATTCTCACCTGAAAGCCTCCAACCCACTGAAAATACCATCTGCTGTTTCTGGGTTCTGGTCACTGAGAAAATCATTCAGCAAGAGTCTAGCCACAGATTTCTGGACCAGTTTACAGTAGGGAGAATGAAAGATCATGAATCCAAAGTCATTCAAGGTGAAACGTCTGCCTATCCCCTCTGGAAGTGGCAGAAATGTTGTGTTACAACTTATGTTTAGCACTTAGTTCAACTATGAAAATAAAGTACAAGGGTGGCAGGGTACTAGTGATTGTATCACATCACCGTACAAGAGACTACAGTAAGACTAACTATGGCTGTCAAGATCATTTAAAACATTGCTGCTACTTCTATTTAAAAGTTAGTTGCTTATCTTTTGCACCAACTAACAATGTTTGACCTCCTAGAAGAAAAAGCTATAAGCTTATAAAAATCTCCCTATTCCTTTTCAGCATTTTGATGTAATAGTCTACTTCATTTAATTAGCTAATCTTCACCCTTATGCCCCTTAATATGAGTAAAGCAATTACTAAATATGTGAGGTTAAAAAAAAATAATCAGTATAGTTACATAATATTTAAATATTAACCCCCATATCTTAACAGCATATTATGTGAAGGGGTAGAAATAACATGCTTTTTTAAGCAAGGTATTTTACATTACACCCAGGTAAGCTTCTAGAGACTGCTGCTTGCTATCAGGTACTCAGCCATACCAGAACAGATGTAAAACATTTCTTACGGGAGAGACAAAACATTTGAAACGCCTCAGAACATGCAAAACCAAGATGGGAACTAGTCTTCAGACCGAATGCTAAAACTCTGAAAGTACACTACCAGCACAGAGATACATTCCAATAACTGCCAGATCTTGCAATATCACCAGGTCAGGCTACATACCTTTTTGCCACTGAGCGTGGATTTTGTTGCGATAAACAGTATAGCAGCGATCTAATGCACTGAGGTAGCACTGTATAGAGAGTTTGCCATCAACTACAGGATATTCAGAGACCATATCTGGCTTATAGAAGTCATATGCATGTTGCATGTGGGTTCCACGCAACCCTAATGGACAGAAATTGACAAAAATTATTCATCTTCTTTGAGTCAACTTGAATGTATCACTTAACACATTTGGGGAAACAAGCAGTATCTGTCCCCCATTAAGCAGGTTTTCATAGCACTTCAGGCCCACTCTTTCCCAACTTTATTGTAGAATCCCTGAGGAAATAAACAGACACGAGCAGCTTTAGTTGCTCCTTGATGCATCCTATAATGGGACTTGCCCAAGTTAGCCCAGAGTGAGAGCAGACAGCACAATTTCTGACATGGTGGGAGTTAATCCTGCCCTCAAGCAAAGCACAAGAAACAGGCTCCCAAACAGATCCAGTTATCTGGATGAACAGTATTTGTTTTTTTCCACAGGACTAACCTCTCTCAAAAATTAAGGGAGCATTTGGACCAACCAGCATAGCAACAGCACCAGCTCCACCTGTTGGCCTGGCATTTCCAGTGGCGTACACAGCTATGTCTCCAGCAACAACAAGTGCATAGCGTCCTGTGAAAACCACACACAAATAATGAGAAATAGCCAAGAATCAAGCACACTTTAACACCCATCTGCAATTTTCAGATGTTGGTCACAGAGGAGATGACCCCACTGTTTAAGGGGCTCTTCCATCTTGACCTTTCCCCCCACATTTCAATCACTTAGCAGCCACAGAAATTTACTGGAATAGACCAGTGATTACTAACCATGTAATCTTTTCTTTTTTTTTCCCACTGGAGTTGAACTTAAAGTCCAGTGCATTTAAGACTTCAGAAGGGAAAAACATTTTAACCTCTGGGATTTACATGGTTAAACATGAACACTGTCATTATGAGGCAGACTACCCAAAGCCAGAGGATGATGTAACTTTTCTGAGAAAATACCCTGAACTTACCATCCCAAGAACTGGACTCGATCCAATTAATGGCATTAAAAAGAGCAGCAGTGCCTCCATAGCACGCATTGGTGGTGTCAATGCCTTCTACATCTGTGTTACCAGATTCTTCAAAGAGCTGCATCAGGACAGTCTTTACAGATTTTGATTTATCAATTATCGTCTCTGTTCCAACCTCCAATCTCCCAATACAATCATAGGAAAGGCTGTTCCTCTCCATCAGCTTCTGAACCACAGTCAGACAGAGAGAATTGATATCCTCCCGGTCGGAGCAGAACCCCATTCTTGACTGGCCCAGCCCAATGGTGTACTTCCCAGCATCCACACCATCATACTTCTCAAGCTCTGTCTGGTCAACGTACTGAGAGGGGAAATATATCTCCAGTGCAACAATTCCCACATCTTTGGGCCAACAGTATTCAGCGTTCACCGGAAGAGACCCAGGCATCGTGGTGGATCTTTAAAGAAAGAAAAAACAAAAACCACACACACACACACACAAAAGGTGATTTATTCATATGCGTTTTGAGAGACCTACTTTCACTTTCTGCAGGCTTGTAGAAAAAGCTATATTTCAGGTATTCTACAAGGTCATTTGCAAAAGGCAAGCCTCTGCGCCCTGGGGAGAATTTGGTCTGAGCATACTGTAAACATCACTAGAAGCTCTGTAACATTTTTATATTAAGAAGTAGTTTTAAGTGACAATACAGATTTCAGCCCTGGAGATGAACAAATGAAGGTTACGCCCAAGTTATTTCACCTAAGCAAACCACACGCTTAACAAGTGTTGTCTGAGAAATTAGTTCATATTAACGTTCACTATTGTGTTTCTGCTTATACGCAAAGTCTCAATTTTACACAACCAAGCTAGAAACATGGGGTATTTTATTTTTTTTTGACGTTGCTAGTTGAAACTTAGGTTTAAAATTTAGCCTTCATCTCTGCCTTAGAACAAGTCACTTTATTTATACTTGCAGCAAAGATAAAAAGCAAGCATTTTTCTGATGTTTGTTCTTTTCTCTTCATTTCTGGTTGGGTTGGGTTTTGTTGGTTTTTTTTTGTTAAGAGTACTGTGTTGGTATTCCAGAACACCGGAACTACCAACACCAGGCCTTGAGGAGCATTTCACATACCAAAATGAATACAAAGGGATTCCTCCTGACAGACCAAGTTTTCTTATTTTAACCCTGTAAGTTTATTGTAACTACACTCAAGGATATTTTACATCCTGTTACTTTAGCACTATCCCCATTATACAGCCATGCACCACCTTTCTGTAATTTTGCTCATTTTCCTACAGAGCACTTGTCCCCTTCATGCCCAGCTGTAAGTATCATCAAACTGACTCAACTTCTTCTATAAAGCCTTAGCGGGCTGTTTAAAGGAACTATCCTGATTTTGGCTGAGATAGTTAATTTTCTTCCCAATAGCTCGTGCAGTGCTGTGTTTTGGCATTAGTCTGAGAAGTAATGCTGGTAACACACTGAAGTCAGTAGTGCTTACCCTGATAAAGGACTTCTCCGTCTCATGCTCTGCCAGTGAGGAGGGGCACACGAAGCCAGGAGAGAGCAGAGACAGGACACCTGACCCAGACCAGCCAAAGGAGTATTCCATACCACAGCATGCCCAGTACATGAACTGGGGGGGAGTTACCTGGAAGGGACTGATCACTGCTCAGGTTCAGCTGAGTATTGGTCAGTGGGTGGTGAGCGATAGTACTGTGCATCACTTCTGCTTATTACGGTTTTCTTTGGTTTTGTTTTGGTTTTTCTTAGTTATTTCCCTTTTCATTATTATTATCATTAGCAGTAGTATTATACTGCCTTTACTAAACTGTTCTTATCTTAACCCACAGGTTTTACTTTTTTACCCTGTTCTCCTCCCCATCTCACTGAGAGGGGTGGAGGCGTCGGGGAGAGGGAAGTGAGAAGCTGAATGGTACTTAGCTGACGGCTGTGGTTAAACCAGGGCAGGAATAACGTCTCTCCCTGCATGAATTCCGACTTTACAGGATGCATATTAAGACAAGCGTCAGGAAAACTTCCAAGTGTTTTCTGTTACAGGTATGTTCTTACAAAACTGAACTCCGAGTCTATGGTTCTCCATTTCGACTGCCTCCGGCAAACTCAACCATACCTATAAGGTACCTAAACCTTCATTTGCAGGCTGTATTAAAACGCGTGAACGGGAGGAAAATTCTATTTAAAGCTGCCCACGGAAGCGCCGCAGAGCGCACAGCTCACCGCCACGATCTGAAGCAAAACAAGCCGTTTGGCGCTCACCCCGCTGCCACCCGACCTCATGCTTTCCTGCTACTCGCCACATCCCGTGCCCGACCGCGACCTCCTTCCCCTCAACCCACCCTTGTCCTGTAGCCCCTCATCTCAGCGCAAAGCCGCGGCCTTGCTGAGGGCGGCGGGCAACCCCCCCGGCCCCACAAATGGCTCAAGGTTACCGGTGACCCGGCCTAGGACACGGCCAGGAAGCACCAGCGCCACGCCCCGTCCCACCCGCAGCGCCCACTTCCACCGCAGCGCAGGGCCAAACCGCCAACCATCCACCGCCGCTGGCACGGCCCTTACACGGTGCGGAATCCCATCCCCGGCTGTCGGCGCGGAGGGCCGCGCATGCGGATCGGGCAGGCGCGAACTGCGCAGGCGCGGGGAGATCGCCCCGCTCCTCTCTCGGGACGGGGCCGCTAGCCATCGTGCGTGGAGCGCTGAGGGGCCCCTTGGGGCTCTGACAGCGCCGGCACCTCCTGCAGCCCAGAGAGCTGTGTGCTGGGCTGCATCAGAAGGAGGCCAGCAGGTCACGGCGGAGTGCCCCTCCACCTCTGCTCTGCTGAGACCGCACCTGCAGCACTGTGTTCCGCTCGGGAGCAATACAAGAGGGACGTGTAACTGCTGAAGCAAGTCCAGAGGAGTCCACGAAAATGGTTAGAGCGCTGGAGAAACTCTGCTATGGAGACAGGAGAGAGTTGGGTTGTTCAGCCTGGAGAAGGCTCTGGAGAGACCTTAGCGCAGCTTCCAATGCCTAAAGGGGCTACTAAATCTGGAAAAGGGCTTTTGGCAATGCCATGTAGTGATAGGGCAAGGGGGAATGGCTTTAAACTGCAAAGGGCAGATTTAGATTAGACATTAGGAAGAAGTTATTCACTGCAAGTATGTTTGGACACTGGCATAGGTTGCCCAGAAGTTGTGGCTGCCCCATCCCCGGCAGTGTTCAAGGACAAGCTGCAAGGGGCTTTCAGCAACCTTGTCTGTCAGAAAGTATCTCTGCCCATGCTAGGGTGACTGGAATTGGATGATCTGTAAGGTTCTTTCCTACCCAAGCCATTGTATGTTTCTGCCTCCAGGAAGCTGGTGAGCAGGATCAACGATTTGTTATGTCATAGCAGTGGGTTTACACTGTTAGAAATGGAGTCGCTATCACAGCTTTCCTAAAGCCACAGGCAGGGAAGGGAGCGTGATGGTCCAGAGACTCCCTAGGAGCTGTGGGACAAGCTCAGGTCCTCTCTTCAGCAGCACAATGAGCAAGTCACATGCATCTTGTGGGGACACAGAGCAGCACTGTGGTCGAAAATTTGCTCCATGAGCATCATTTCACCCCAGATATGCACAGGCACTGCAGGGGAGGAGGATGCTTTCCAGCTCCCTGTACAAGTGCAGACATAACACCAACAGCGAGATCTCAAGGTACCAGCTGCAGAAATGGCCTTGGGGTCCAGCTCTTTCTGGCACAATGTACCTCACTTTCTTCAAAAAGGGTCAGGGGTCAAAAAGGAAATTTACATTCTTGCTGACTCAGCACAGTGTCTGGCAGCCATCCCAAGGACAAGCCTTGAGCCCAAAGCAGAGCGTATTTCTGCCCCAGGAGCCAGAAAGCCACAAGTTAAGGGGCTGCAGAGAATCTTAAGAGGCTCAGTTTTAAGTTACACACTAAAAGCCAATTCATGCAGCACATAAGGCCTTGGCCTCTTTCATCAGAAAGCTTTCTGCAGAAGACAGCTAAAGGGAGGCTTCTTTTTGTGGCTCACCTAATATCAAGGTCACCAAACATGGCTCAGATAGCAGCAGTCATAGGGCTACCAGCTGTACTGCAAGGAGAATCATAGCTTTATTAAGTTGTTCTGGTCACTGAAGGAAACAGGACAGCTTAAGCCAGTTAGTCACTACAGGGAAAAAAATTGTTTACTTAATGCAAAACAAACAGCCTTTTGTCCTCTTGGTCAACCAGCAAACAACATCCCGTAACTCAGTTCTGACTGAAAAGAAAAGCTTTCTCAAGAAAGTACGACTTCTTTTAACAGAAAGAAATGCCAAAGGTTTTCATATAGACACTTAAGAATGCTTTGTCTTGTATCCCCTCAGGATTCTGTAGGGAATGAACGAGCAGCATAAAAGAGCCACCACTTTCTGCTAGTGTTGCCAGAAATCTGTTATCTCACCACAGCTAGTGCCTTACATTGTCTTCGTGTATTCTTGTATATTTTTTTTCGTCAAATATCGCATATTTAAGAATATGCATTGGTACATATATTAATATATTTCAGAATATTTATATAATTGTGAATATTCTGACAATAATTTGACTTTATCAGTTCCCACTGAAGTCCTTCACTCCTGCAGAACACGACTGGAAGTTAAGAGCTGAGCCTGCAGCCTTTCGCCATGGACAACGCTGCTATGGGTTCAGCGGCTCCCCTGAGCAGCTCCCAGCTCAGGAGGAGCTGGCGGACACACCGACCTCTCGGGTGGCAGCAGGGATACTTGCGGGACACTTCAGCCCCTCTTCATATGTCACCCCAAGATGATCCGGCAGCCTCAGCAGCACCGGGAAGCACCGGGCGCTCCCAAGACCTCGCTCACGCCGCGGGAGGTGGCTGCCTCCACCCGGGTCGAAGGCACTCGCCGTGGTACCGGACACCGCTCATCCCGACAAGTGCGGGGGGAGCTGCGGGGACACCGACCAACGGCGTAACAACCCCAAACTGCGGGACGGTGCCTTGAATTCTGCAGTGAAACACCCCCCCATACCTCGCCTTGTGCACCCTCTTGGACTGCGCCCGCACCCGGGTGTGTGCCGGGGTGCGTGCACCGGGCTACAAGCGTCATCATGGAAGAAGGCGACGGCATCCCTGAGGCAGCGCCCGCTACCTGTGGCATGTGAGGGGGAGGCTGGGCAGGGGGATACGCCCACCCAGCCTTCTCCGGCTTGTCGCTCTGTCGCGACACTGAGAGGCGGTAAGGTGACAAGCCGAAGAGTGCCGATGCTTTCAGCGCCTTCCCGACCAGCGAGCTGTGGGCAGAACCCGTCAAGCCCCGCAGCAGCCGCCCACCACGGCTCACTCAGGATGGAGAGGCTTCCCCCGGGGGCAGCACCCGGGGCACCGGGACGCGACTCTTTCGGCTGGAGCCCGGCCCAGACGGCTGCCCCGGACGCGGAGCGCCCCACGCCGCACTGCCCCGGACGATGCTTCGCCATGCTCCGGGCAGCGCCCGACGCGGTGGGTGTGCTGGCACCCCCGTTAAGAGAGACACGCGTGGAGAGACACCCAGGCACGCCTCCGTTTCTTTTTTCACTCTTTATCTTTTCCCCCTTCTTGCCGCACTGCAGGCACTTCAAACGCGCTTGCATCCCCTGAGAACACTGCTCCCAGCTATACCAACCCAGCCCCAGCCCGCGGGAGGCTCCGCACCCTCCTCGCCCCCGGCCGAGGGGACATGGAGAGGCCGTCGCAGAACCGCAGGACTCCCGGAGCCCGAGCCTCACTCACCTGGTACAGGCGATGGCTACCGATGTCACTCGCTGCGCCTCACTCTTGCCCGTCCTCACGCACGAGAGAACGCACCGAGCGCCGGCGTGCGGCGCCTTTTAAATAGCCCCGCCGCCGCGGCCTCTGAGCGGCAGCTCCGCCCGCCAATCACAGCTGCCGCCGCACAGGTCCCGCCTTCCGGCCGGCCGGCAGCTCGCGGAGAAGGAGGGGGAAATGGTGTGAGAAAGTGACGCGGCGTGGCCAGAGGGCGGCGCGCCAATGGGGACGCGGCAGAGGCGGCGGGCGCTCAATGGGAGCTGAGCGCCGCGCGGGAGCAGCCAATGGGAGCGCGCTGCCGACCGCGGGTGAGAGTAGGACGGCTGCCGGTCCCCGGCGAGGCGAGGAGGCAGTTGCCCGGCAACGCGAGGCGAGGCCCGCCCGGCCCCAGGCAGCAGGGGCTCGTGGGGGGTGCCCGGTCAGGGCTGTCCCGCGTGTGGCCGTAGCCCCCGGTGAGGGGGCTGTGGGGCGGCTGCGGCTGGCTGAGGGGTCTGCAGGAAGTGGGGGACCGTGGTGGCGGTCTTCGGAAAGCCACCCCATGTTCAGGCCTGCAAAACTGCTCTGGCCCTTGGCGGGCCAGGACGAGGCATTCGGGGCTCCCACGGAGGGAAATTGCTTCACGGAGAATGTGATGTCCTGCCCTGGATTGTCCTGTTCTGACGGGAGCGTCGTCCCAACTTGTTAAACACCCAGCGTGCCAAGCCAAACCTCGTGGTGGTGGTGTTACTTGGGCCATTGACAGTTGGCTAATGTGTGGGTTCCACATCCCAGCCTCTGTAGCCTTTAGGCCGTGTGCTAATCTGTTGCTGCACAGGGTACTGAGCGTCCCCAGAGGAGTCACTGAGAGTACAAACCTTCGTTGCAGATGAGAAGCTGGTCAATAGAAAACACACATTTTAAAGCCTGGATAATTTTGTTGTAAAACACCCCTCAAGTAAAAAAAAAAAGAAATAAAACACACACCTTTAGCAGCTGGTGTCAGGTTCTGCGTGATCCGGTTGCTACAGCTATCAGAAGACACTGCCTTGATCAACTTCTGTTGTATCAGAGACTTAAATCCGTGTTATTTCCACCATCTTAGGGGCAGGTAAAAATAATGTGAAAGAAAGGAAAAAACTCCTTAAAAGTATTAACTCCTGTCCTTGAGACATTGAACATTATGTTATCATCATTTAAAATCACAGAGTTGTTGTAGAACTATTTGTTGTGCAAGGATCAAGAAATGCTGCTGAGAAACCGAGAGTTTTGTTTGCAGGTGTCACCCTGCAGTCTTTGATAACCTTGTTCCATTCGTAATGCTGAAAAAACCACATTGGCAAAATATGAACTGAATAGATGATAGCATAGCTGCGTCATGTAGACACGCTGTTACCTTCTGTGCCTACAGACCAAATGGACTTCTTGTTAGAAGTTGATCTGCTCTGGGAATCTAAAACTTTAATTCCTCCTTTTTTTCCCTTCCTACCACCAAAAAAAACCCAGCCCCAAACAAAACCGAAGCTGGAACTCTGTCCTTGTTCTAGACTTCAAAATGGGTCCCAAATGCCAGCCTCTCATTGTATGCTGTGGTGGCAAACTGTTTTCTGTCACTGGGGTGCTCGGTGTGTTCTGGCTTTAGAGAAGAGCAGATGTGCAGGAGGAGATGAAGCAGTCCACGCAGGATCTCATGTCAAGGCTGTGAGTGTTCCCTGATTCTGTGCAGCCCTGTTCCCTGTTCCCTGCTCCCTGGGGGCTTAGTTGCCTGTGGGCAAGGCCAGCTCTGGTACAGTGTGTTTATGTACCCTGGGATGGGCCTGCAGTGAAAACAGATGTGTGATAAGGAGCTGTGATTTGTCGCCTGGGTGGCCTCTTCCCCTTCAGTTGAAGCTCTCTTCAAGGTTGGGCCCTTGCCTGGGCAGCACTGCCCGGTATGCCTATGCCTGGCTACGTCCCTTACTGATCCTGACCCACTGACTTGACTTACCAGCTTCACCTCCAACCTGCTTGTCACTATGGACTCCTCTGGAAACTTGGGGTCACTCTGACCCTGCTTGCCATTGCTGGCCCCACTCTGCTTTTTTGTTTGGGCACGGTCAGAACGAGGTCACTGCCCTGCCTGCTTTGTTGTCACATTCAATTCCTGGCTCACCTGCCCTTGCTGCTCCCTAAAAGCTTAAATCTGCTCTCTTGTGAGCCTGCGCTTACAGTGCCATGTTTTGTTTTGTTTTCAGGTAAATGTCATATTTGCCTTCAAAATGGTAAAGGCAGAATGGGTTTTTGTGATTCTTTTTTTTGGTGTGTAGTCAACAGTAAACACAGATGTAAACATGAATCTTCTCACCTTTATTACATCTTTACAGATCTAATAAAAAAAAAGTGCCAAAATCACTAAGATAAGTTTTGGGGAGATGATTCATATTATTGCTTTCTTTTCCATGGTCTGCTGTACAAGAGGATGGAAGGCATCCCATAGTCTTTGACTTTAACTTTCTGTGTTGTAGAAGATAGCCTGATGTAGACATGCATGAAATCATTGCTATTAATTTAAAATCATTTATTTGCAAAAAACAACAAAACAAAACAACAAAAACACAAAAAAACCCAAACCCCCAAAAAAGCCCAAAAGCAAAAGCCCAAACACCAAAAAACAAACCCTAACAAATTAATAATCTATAGACTATAAAATTATAACCATGCTCTCCTATGGTTTCAGTACTGAAGCATGTTTGAAGATTACACCCTGCAGATGATGAAGGAAAGCTAAAAAGCAAAATGTGATGAAAAACTGCTGGATTTTCAGAATTTTAAACGGAGGTTAAAGGCACAATGCAATCATTTTTTTTTTAATAGTTGTCTGAAGTTGAATTCAGAGACCAGGTATCTGACCTACACTGCTAAGATCAACGTATTTGTCTCCTCAGGATGTTTCTGGATCCAGATGCTAACTTAAATTTACATCCAACCCCTGCCATGGGCAGGGACACTTTCCACTAGAGCAGGCTGCTCAAAGCCCCGTCCAACCTGGCCTTCGACACTGTCAGGGATGAGGCAGCCACAGCCTCTCTGGGCACCACCACACCACCCTCACAGTGAAGAATTTTTCCCTAATATCTAATCTAAATCTCCCCTCTGTCAGTTTAAAGCCATTCTCCCTTGTCATGTCACTACATGCTCGAGTAAAAAGTCCTTCTCCAGATTTCCTGCTGGTCCCTTTAGATCCTGGGAGCTTCCCTAAGGTTTCCCTTCTCTTATTCAGAGTGAACAAGCCCAGCTCTCTCAGCCTGCCTTCACAGCAGAGGTGCTCCAGCCCTCTGATCATCTCCATGGCCTCTTCTGGACTCACTGAAGTAGTCTTCATCTTGCAGACTGGTTTGATGACTAGTTAGTTATAGCCTAATATCTGCTACTTGTTCTTATTAATCAGTACAATTTATTTTATAGTTGCTGCCAGTGATATTATTCTTTTTATTCAGCTTTATGTGGCTATTTGCTTTTCCTGTCACTGAGTATATTGCAAGAGAATTCCTAGAAAACAAATACTATTTTTTTCACAAAAAGGGCTGTGCCTGTACTGCTACTGCAACAGACTACAGTTGATTTATATGAATATCTAGAAAAGATCTCAGTAATAACATTAAAGGGCTTGGTAAATCTTGTTCCAAACTTCTTAGGTAATTAATTATAGTCCTCTAACCAAACTATGCTCCAGACATGTGATTGCCACTATTTCCAGCCCAGCTTGTAAGAATGACACAAGTTTTCCTTTCGTGGCCCTACAGCTTGACAAATCTGTCCACTGAGATTCTCAATTGAGATTCTATGGGACTAGTGTACAAAAATGAATCTGCACCTCAGTAACCTTAGAACTGGAAACCTGAAATAGGAGAGGTCCATTTAATAGAGATGGTATTACTAGAGAAACTCAGCATGCTAGCCCAGAATAAGCTTGGAGAAGAAACACGCTCAGATGCTGCTAGGAAGCATCTTTGTTCATTAAAATCCAATCTGTTTTGATAAAAGAGGAGTTTGAACTTGAGGCTCTCTTGCAATTTTTCAAGTGTAAAGGTGGGTAGGATCTCCTAATCCAGTACTGTTTTGAAACAGAAGTGTTTGCTGTCTGATGACTCACCTCATTTTAAGCCAGTGTATCAAATTCAGGATGCTGGTTTTGTCTCAATAGACCCAACAGTTTCTTTGCTTCTGTTTAGTAATTCTTCAGCAATTCTCTCCATGACTTCTTTTTTTTTCCTAAAGCCTCCTAAAGAGGTAGAGACTGTTGTATTAGGTTAATAACTCTTAAAATAAACAGCCAGATGATTAAAGCTGTTGCTTAAAACTGTATAAGAGTTAATTTATTAGAAATTTCAAGAATATTAATTACAGGCTTAATCTGGATTTAATTAAATCGGAGCTACACTTCTAAGTCACTAAAATTCTCACTGGGATTTTCAGATGCAGCCAACTACATCTTTTGGTGCCAGACCCATTGAAAAGAAAGCTTTACCCAGCGTTTTCAAGGAAAACAATGTCATGTGTAATAGTAATTTCTTCCACAAAACAAGATGTTGAGATGATTTTACTGAAAAAAGTATTGATTTTCTTTTTTTTGCCAAGCACAAAATAGCAAAGGTCAAAAATAGTGCTCAGCTAAAGGGAGTGTGAAGTCACCCAAGTGTAGGTTTGGAAATGGAAGGATTTCTTTTACATATTTGTGTTTTAAGGTTCAGAGATAGATGACACTGTACCAGACAGTAGAGCTTTCAAGTGCTGTTCTTAATCCAGTATCAAGGGACAAAGTTTTCTGGATTGAATGACAAGTAGAAGTTATTTCTAATTCAGTTCTCAGAAGAATGTACAGGAACCCAAACTTGAAATACAGCTAGCAGCTGGTAGAGGACTTCTGCCATCTAGTAATCTCTGGATTTGATCTGCTGACTCCAGGAGAACCTGATACACAATAACACACACTCTGAAGAACTGGGAAATGTAAACAAATCTATCACAGCCTGTCTTAAAGTAGGTCCAGTAAATGCAAACATTTCAATAATATTTGAGTTGCAGAGATGGCTGGGTTTTAGAATATTTGTGAAATTGTAACAATTCCAGTTATTAGAACTATAGAATGGTG